GAGGTAAAGTTTGTGAGTTTGTGACGTTGTAGGGGGTAATCTCTAGATCTACTGAACCGATTTAGATGAAATTTAGTAAGAAGATAGTGTGAGACTATGGAAAGGACATAGGATACTTTTTTCCCGGAAATCATCACTCAAGGGGGTGAGAATGGGGATTAAAGTTTGTATGGGGAATAATAAACAAAAAAACCTAGGGACGAACCCGAGCGAAGCGAGGGTGAGTCGCTAGTATTGATATAAACCTAGTGACTATAAGTAAATTTAAAAACTCTTAAGAGATATTGTCAGCCTTTAATGTTTTTTACACTTTGATGTTAATATTTAAATGTAAATATTTTTTCTCTTTTATAAATTTCTTGTTGTTTACCTTACGTGTATGTATATTTAAATTACTGAAAACTTGTGTGTTTGTGTAATATTTTATCTGTTATGTGTCTTTTTATGTTATAAAATACTGTGTAAACCAAATAAAATAATTCTTTTTGATTTCTTACATAAGGAGGTATCGCAAAGCAAACAAACAGACGAAATGTTTGGACGAATTGAGCATCTCCTTTTTGGAAATCGATTAACAGCATCGAAATCTCTTTGAGATGTAAAGAAAAAAAAACAAGCCAGTCTATTTATCTTCTGCCAACAAGTTTGCTCTACAAAAGATTAATGTAATTTTTAAGATATAGCTCTTATTTCTATGGACATAAGTGTTATTTTTAGAATCTTTGAGCATTTTTGCCTATTTGAGCATCGTGGGTTAACATCTTTTAGAAAGTCTGGGTCAGGTTACTTCACCCATACAAAATAATGCGAAATGTATGAAAATCTTTATGTATAAACTAGTATCTAATATCTATCATAACCAAATGCATACATCTATACATATAATAAAATTCTAAGTCAAATCTGTACATTAAATATTTTTTGGGAAATCTAATTGAAATAGACATTATTATCGATACAGAGGCCGAATCTATCTGAAATTTTTAGAATTATTGTCTTTTTAGTCTGGGAACGCGCCCGGGAACTCATCACGAGAAAACTACTGGAGAGATTTTGATGAAATTTGGTATGATGATAGCTGCTTATCCGGGTCAACATAGAGGATACTTTTTACTGCGGAAAAATATATCATAACTAAGAAATCTACAATACTATCCGATAAAACGTACCGAGGGACTAACCCAAGCGGTGCGAGCGTGACTCGCTAGTGTCCTATACGAATCAGAGTTTTCTTATATTTTTTTTATTTTGTTGCATTTCCCTAAATTCAACATTCATTGACCATACGTTTTTTATCAGCAAAAAGTATCTACAAGTAATTTTATTATAGTAGTAGCTCATAGTAAAAACTAAAAAGTCAATTTCATACGAAAATAGCCATCTAGTGTTTCATTTCAACAACTTATAGCAAAGCGGCGTCTTTGATGTACATCTAGTTCGAAGAGTTTTCAACAGATGGCGCTGTTCTCAAAGGTTTATATACAAGTTAGATTATTGTGAAGGTTCATATCTGAGTTTTCGTAAACGTAAAGTTGAAGATATATTAAAAGATGTCGCAATGATCTGTGATGCAACATTAAATAGTACGCTAGTCTGAAGATCCATACATATTAAAAAATTGTAACTAAGCCGAATCTGTATATAATTTTTTTTTGAAAAATCTTATTGAAATAGCCATTATTATCGATACAGAGGCCGAATCTATAGTTTTTAGAATTTTTGTCTGTCTGTCTGTCTGTCTGTTACCGCATCACAGAAAAACCACTGGAGGGATTTTGATGACATTTAGTTTGGTGATAGCTGGCTATCCGGGTTAACATATAGGATACTTTTTACCGCGGGAAAATATCTCATTTCTGAGAAAAAATACAAAAACTGCAATGTAAGAGTATACTAATATGTAAAACCTAAGAATTTGGTTTTTGGTCATCTGAACGCGGGCGGAGCCGCGAGCAATGCTAGTTAAATATAAAAATTGGCTTGACTGGGGAATAAATTCAAAAATAACCTTAAAAAAATAGGGTTATTATATGGGATATTAGTTTTTAAATCGTATTTTAAAAAAGTGCGTGTAATTACACACACGCATACATAGTAGAAGTGAAACATCAGAAAAGAGATTACGAGAGAATGAGATAAATACAGAGTACCAGGAGTAGGATAATTATAAGATTTATTTTTTGTAATATTTTTACCAAGTTTAAAAGTTATTTTACAATTTATTTAACATTACATATTATTCAGTAATTAATTTTATAATTTTTACTTCGTGTCTTCGATCAACAATACTACTGTTGATGGAAGAAATACCTATTGTTGATCGAAGCTTCGTGTGTAATATATTCTATCTCATTCTCTCGCCGGCTTAATCCTATATGATCTTTTATGTGCATTATGCGATATCATGTCGAAAGAATTTCTTTTAGAATAGAATAGAATGTCAATAACTTCTTTACCTTAACGCGGAACTCGAACCCCGGATGTTATGATACGCAGCGATATGTTAGCAGTCTTTTAAACCTATGAGGTAAAAATCAAACTCCAATAACATATAAGCGAAAATGTGTGTGTGTAAGATTGATAATCCTCCACACCTGAACGGCTGGACACATTATAATGAAATTTAGTACATAGATAGATTATGACCAGAAGTAACACATAATATATAATACTATAAATACAAAAAACTTAAAAATAAATAAAAACCGACTTCCAGGCACTAAAATGTAAAAAATAAACGGGAGTTTTCATTTAGAATAGATAACTAATCAGATATTTTCTAAGTAGGTGCCAGCCAATGCAAAGCAAATCTTATATATTTCGATACGTAAAATACATCACAAATCGATATATAATATTTTAACTATAATTAGAGTTCATACCTAATCATATTTATTATTTAATCTATTAGATACCTATTCATATCTTAAAATATTGTCGGCTGGCACCGACTTCGAAAACATCTGATTATGTATCTACTCTAAATGAAAACCCCCGTTTAGTTATTTTTTACATTTTAGTGCCTGGAAGTCGGTTTTTTTTAAGTTTTTATTTTTCCATTTTCAGTGTAGACCTAATAAGCAGGCAATTTGTAAGAAAACAGTTTTTTTCATAACATATTCGGTTAAGCAATTTATTTAAAAAAAATAAAATATTGTTGCTTTTTTTTAAAACTACTCGACAGATTTCGATAAAATTTAAATGGGACCACCTGGGAAGTATACCCTTCCAAACAAAAAAAAATCAAAATCTGTTCAAGCGTCTTAGAGTAATCGGTGAACATACATAAAAGAAAAGATTCCGACGAATTGAGAACCTCCTCCTTTTTGGAAGTCGGTTAAAAGGCATCTAAAGACGCAACAGAGCGAAGCCAGGGTAAGTCACTAATCTTAAATAATGTTTAAACACAATTGTTAGAACTTTTTTAATTTTATTCCTTGTTAGAGCAACCCATTGTTTCATTTAACAATGCTTTATCAAAGTTGACGTTGTTAGTCATTTTAAATGTTCCTTTGTGAGTAAAGTTTGTGTGGTGGGTGATATTATATTATCTATATCTATACTATAATAAAACAGTAGAGGTCGAATGTCTATACATAGAAAAAAATGCTAAAAACCGAGTTAGGGGAATGTAAGAAGACAAATAGGACAAATCCAATTTTTTTTCAAATTTTTTGTTTCTCTGTCTGTTTGTCTGTTTGTACGGGCTTGTCTCCGAATCTATTGGACTGATTTAAATGAAATTTTGCATGGTGGTACCTTATATCCCCAGGCAACTTTTCATCCCGAAAAATTAAAGAGTAAAAGCTTAGTACACATCAACTTATGAACATAATCTAAAAAGATACCTTATATTGCCGGTCAAACAATAGGTTACATTTTATTCCGGAAAAATGAGCGGTTCCCGTAGGATAGATCTGTGTGTGCTTTTCTAGAGGCGAACCCGACCGAAGCGAGGGTGAGCCGCTAGTATATAATAAAAAAATTCTGAGTCGAATCTGTACATTAAATGTTTTTTTGGAAAATCTTATTGAAATAGTCATTATTATCGATACAGAGACCGAATCTATAGTTTATAGAATTTTTTTGTCTGTCTATCTGTGACCGCATCACGAGAAAACCACTGGACAGATTTTGACGGAATTAGGTATGATGATAGCTGGTTATCGTCAACATATAGGATACATTTTATTGCGGGAAAATATCTCATCTCTGAGAAATCTATACTAAGCACTAAAACGTAACGTACATAAAAAAATAGTAACGGGTTCAGCCTTTAGTTAATATTGGATTTTATTTTTTTTGGACAAGTATGAGCATTGTGTTCTGGAATCTCAGTGAAATAATTTTGTTAAAACAGTTGAATAACTTTTATTGTTCAAAGATTTAAATTAAAAAGAAATTAAGCGGTACTAAACTTGACCTACCCGTTATAGAACGGTACATTAACCAACTTCGGCTACGGCGTGACGGTCAATCTGCGAAAAACCAGCTAACTAGAGCAAGAGATATCATGAGATATAGTGCACAAGTATGTACGCAAATGAGTACATTTATTTGGATTTCACTCTACAAGGCTGTCAACTTTCCAACCCTATTAGAATTTCTTACAATAAACTCTAAAAATCATACTTGGCTCGACCCTGGATTCGAACCAATGATATGTTCAGCTATAAATAATATGAACTAGACAACAGGAAAGTAAAATATAAATGTATATAAAGTAAATATAATTCTTTTAATAAAAACAATAAATATTAGTTAGTTAATAATAATAGTTAGTTTTCAGTCATTTTAGACCTTTTTAACGTTGGTAAATACATTTAGGTACGAGGTGTGGGACCCACCGGCAAAGCCAGTACTACCAACTCCAGTACCTCATTTTTAGACCTAATTTAAAAAAAAACTTTAACTCAATCTTACGACAACTTAGATTCCTTTACACCAAAAATCATATTTTGTTAATTTCGTTGATAAAAATTATAGCAGTTACCTTAGTAATGAAATACCAAATATTATTTATACCCATTTGGATTATCGACTGTTCTCATATCGCTCAGAATAATTCCGAAGTTTTTGTATCGTATTCTGGGCATAGTGATTTGGAAAGACTAGAAAAACTAGAAGAACATGTACCTCAGAAAGAAGAAAAAGTAACTGAAAAAGAAGAGAAGATAACAAAAGTATCTGAAACTGTTACTGAAGGTGTAGTGTTTATACCAAATGAAAAGCCAGTTTTTCGTGTTGAAGATGGTATGAAAATTGATGATCTTGTTAATACTAGACGAATTGGAGATCTAATGGAAAATATAAATGTTGCTACAGGTAATTGTAGGTTTGCTTCTAACGATTTAAAAAATATATTTATTTCTGCGATACTTATGCACTGATTAAAAATGCACCAGCTCTAAAAGTAAAAGTTAAAAGAGTTCAGAGGTTTAAGAAGAGTTCAAAACTTTGGAACCCAATGTCAGTTAGTCCATTCCAAGCGCAATGTACGCGCAAAGGTAACACTTCCTGTGTTACCACCATGTCTGGTATGTTTACTATCTGCACTAAAATCGATAAAGCTTACATATTTAAATTTAATATGTGGATAATAATTCGTTAGGTATTTTAATAACTCTTTTATTTTAAATATCACAAATATTTCAGAAAAACCTCAACAAGATATTTTGTTCATTTCTGGTAAAAACAATGAAAATCTAGAAACACTGGATGCCTCCAAAAAGCAGAATAATCACCAAGATTCTGGAAGACTTGTTCCAAAATCTAGTAAAGCGAAAAAACCTAAGCCCATCGATTGCACTCATTTGAATTGCAATAACACTATAAATTCGGTTTGTGGAGGGAAAGAGGAAGACAAAAGATGGAAATTCAGATTGTTTTTAAATGAGTGCTTTTTTAGAAAAGTTAATTGTGGCTTCCAATATGCTGTTAACAGTTAGTTCATTAATTATTCTTTCTTTTTAGCATTAGTCAAAATGAATGTAAAAATTTTAAGAAATCACGAAAAAACCAAACCAAAACTTGTAACAAATAATGTTAATCCTAGACTTGTTTTAACATGCATAAACTTATGATTTATAACATAAATATAAACAAGGAAGTCATAACGATCCTCTCCAATATTCACAAAAAAATAACTAAATTTAGGAAATCATTTGAAAAGTCGACTTTTTTTATCTAGCGACTCACCTTCGCTTCGCTCGGGTTCGTCTCTGGGTTGCTTCCCCATACGAACTTTCATGCCCATTTTCACTCTCTTAAGGTATTATTTCCGAGATAAAAACTATCCTATATCCTTTCCAGAGACTCAAACTGTCTTCTTACCAAAGTTCATCTAAATCAGTTCAGTAGTTTCGAAGCTTATTCAGTATAAACAAACAAAAAATCTTTCCTCTTTGTAATATTAGTATAGATATAGATTATGTTCGATTATCGACTACAATACATTGTCTCCGTAAAAGTCAAAGTTTTTATTAAAGTTATACATGTGTCGAGAGTGATTTGTATATGAAGAAAAAATACCATCCAAATATACAAGCAGGCAAATTTTTAATTATTTAGTTGATTTCATTTTAAACTTCTTACTGCTACTGGATATATTAGGGGAACCGAAAGACTTCCTTGACATTCGATCAGTGGGTTTCAGCAACTTGAACATGGAGATTGTGAGATTCTTGCCACATTACAAACTTTATATATTATAATATTTTAACGTTCTAGGATATAATATAGTACCATTGGAAAAATGCAAAAATATTGGAGCACATTTAGTCTCCAGACCTTTTGTGTTTAAGCCAATACCGATGCCATTACAAAACAAGCCCTCTATACAAAATGAGACCAGAAGATCATTTTCTTCTAGAAGGTAATATGATTTCTTTAAATAATGAAAAAAAAAATCTTACTAAAAATTTAAAATATAAAAAGAATTATAAGAAGAATAAAATTTATATATACAATATACGTATATAAATTTTATTAATTTAATTCAAGGTATATAATATAATTTTCCATTTGGAGCATCAAATATAGAGCGTCATCTTCTTTAGAGCCCTCTGCTTCGGCATTTCCACAAGTAATACATAAAAAATATGGCATCTTACTTACTCTAACTATAGTTTAGAAGAAGAGTAACAGGTGATAACCCCACTAATATCTTGATCTAGCTACTCTTCCATCATTTATTTCATCAGAATAGATTCCCCAAAACAAAAAGCCCTTATTGCTGCACCAGAAAAAGGACAATTACAGTGCAAAAATAAGCAGTTGCTTGGACTTTAATACTTTGTTACCAATAACCATATGACCTCAATTTAGGATATTTTGATAACACCGACAGACAATTAAATACTATTTATTAATATTTCCTTATTTTCTAGATCTCTAAACATGGGTATAGATGGCAGTTTCTGCGCACACGCATGCCCAAGTTCATGCACAGATGACTATGACCCACAATGCGCCGTATCCAACAGCGGAGTTAGAAAAGTGTTTCTAAATCACTGTAAATTGGATTACAATTCCTGTTTATATAAAGTTGGTAAGAAATTGATTGTTTTGATTCTCAAAAAAGCACTATCATTCTATACCATGAAATTCATAAAAATAATTTTCTCATACCCTGTACCTAACAAGTCTTTATATACCTCAGTTGTAAGTTAACCTGGTTTGGAGCTGCGAACCGGGAAATTTCTCAGTAAAAGTCCGGAGTTGGGAAGTTGACGGGTTTTCACCCCCGTGCTCAGGCAGAGCACGTAAAATTTTTGTCTGATTTCTCCCGAATTGTTGCCTCACCGAACTTTAAGAGTGAAAGAAATAAAAAAGCCTGATAACAGCTCGTCGCCTTAGTGCTTATTTGTTCAAACTACCAATACCTATTGTATACTTTACAGTAGAGACTGTTTTTTCTTCTATTTGAAAAAGAAATCTTTATTTCTAAGATTTACATACATATGTATATAGCTAAAATATTTTCATTTTTGACTTTATTAAAGTAAAATGTGTATTTATTTACCAATAGAATTAGCATTTAAAAGTAAATAATTCTGTATTAAAAACCTTTTCGGTAAATGGGTTTGGACAAATTAGCATGGAGACGACGATCTCTCTAATTATTTTATTAACTTATATACGTACTAGCAGACCTAGCCACACTTTTCTGTGGTACACTTATGAAAATGGTTAGTTTTGCAATAAAAAATATATATAAGGGGTATAAACTATCCTATCTCTTAAGTTACGACAAATCACATATTTTGAAAAAAAATACGTTAAGATAGGATAAGTCGTTTCGGAGTTCATCGCGGACCAACATCGTGACACGGGAATTTTATATATTGATTCCCCGTACAAACTTTCATCCCCATTTTCACCCCCTTAAGGGATGCTTTCCGTGATAAAAAGTATCCTATGTCCTTCCCAGGGTCTCAAACTATCTTCTTACCAAATTTCACCTAAATCGGTTCAGTAGATCCAGAAGTTATCCCCTACAACGTCACAAACTCACAAACTTTACCTCTTAATAATATTAGTATAGAAATGTGTAAATCCATATTATAAATGTAGACAGTTGGAAAGCTGGAGAGTGACTTGGCTACTTTTTACCGCGGGAGATTATCTCATTCCCGCGGAAAAACACGTTATAAGTCTTTTTCGAAATTCATCCTATAGAGAGGTAAAACAGGGGATGAAAGTTTGTATGAAACCTACCTTTTTAGTTTCTTTTGTAGTTTTAGCGCGATTGAAAACGCGGGTTCTGCTAGTAATACATAAATTAAAATGTGTAAATAAACTATTAATTTTCAGTTTGGCATCGGCGTCCGCTCTCAGAGTGTGTTGGGGGTAAAAAGGCAGATATGACTCAGAATAGAGGCTTCATAGGGTGGATGCAACGAGTTGGTATCGTCGATCGAAAAGGACGCTTAGTTTTATCTTAACAGTTTTAATTAAGTTTTTTTTTGTATCTTTGCCCACATATATATATTTGTATATATATATTTAACACTAGGTGATTCTTTAAATTGACATAACTTTTTTATTTATGAACCGATTGCAATAAAACTTATATATAAATATTAAATGAAGCTTACCACAATACATTAGTGAAAACCGCATCCAAATCGGTTAAGCCGTTTTTGAGATTAACGCGCACAAACGCACAGAAAAACGGACAAAAATTCTAGAAATCATTCTTTTTGGGTTATATTACGTTAATAAAGACCCCCATAATAGTTTTTGTCCAATATTTTCCATGTACAGACAGCGATCAGGTACAATTTTATTATATGTGTAGAAAATTACTATGATAAATGCGAAAGTTTGTGTGTATGTCTGTTACTTCTTCACGTTAAAACGGCTGAACAGATTTGGATGAAATTTAGTGCTGGATGTTTGAGCTGAGTTTTGAGTAACATATAGGCTGTTAATGTTAAAATAAAATTTACCACCGAAATACGCAAACAAGTGAAATGAAGATAAGACAGTCGTTTAAAAATAATAGTTATTGTATAGCTTTGTTAGTTATAATATAAATAGGCGAAACCAAAGGCATTTACTAGTTTCTGAGAGACAGCATTAGGCAATTTGGATAGATTAAAGGATAAAGGAAAGGGAAGAAAACCTTTACTAATTAGAATCTAAATTCTGAGGGGTGAATAAACTGGTTGTGACTCCAAATAAAAGTTTAAAATTACTGAATTGACCTTTTACCGACACAGTTAAAATTATTTGTGAAATTACAACAATTTTACAAACAATGGTTAAGCAAAATTATAAACTAACGTATAGGTTCTAATGCAAATTACCACTCAAATCAAGTATTTTTCCAAAACATGTACAGAAAATTTACAAAAATTAATTGTAATTTTAACGATTTTTTGTATAATGATGATGTTCTCCTAGCCGATTCCGACCACGGCGGCCAATCTCATTGAGACTAGCCAACTACACAGGAAATATTATAGTGCACAAGTGTACGCGCAGACACAGGTGCACTCTCTATTCCTATCACTCTCATATTCTGGTGGGACGACCACTCGACACGAGCAGTGAGAGTTAAGGCGCAGGACCGACGGCTTTACGTGCTCTCCGAGGCACGGGGATGAAACACCGCCAACTTCCCAACTTCGGGCTGTTACTGAGGCTTACTATACAGAAAGACTCAATAACTAAACTTGGCCCGACCCGGGACTCGAACCCAGGACCTCCGGGTGTGCAGCCGTACATGCTACCCACTACACCACCGAGGTAGTTTTTGTATAAACTATTCAAGTGTTGTAATTTTACAAAATAGTTTTACGGTTGTCCATCAAGAAAGTTTATTTATTTACAAGCAATGCTTGCGATTCTATTTATTACAATTTTAACTAAAATGACAAACTAATATTGTAGTTCTTATTACAATTAATTTACTAAAGTGAAACCTTGTATATGCCGGTTTGTTTGTATGGGGAGTAAATTCATGTAAGTCGTCATCGACATGGTCACGTGACGTATTAACGTTAACACTCCGACCGCCGATAGATGTCGACACCAGATAAATGTAAATAGTTTTAATTTACAAATTTTAATTTAAGATCAAACAATTAATTTGAATATCCATAAATAACAACGGTTTGTTTATAGTTTTGAGTTTTCACTTCTGTCAGCAGTCCTCGTGACTGCTTTTTTTATTTATTTATGTACCAAAAAAAACATAAAACAGAAAAGAAGTTTGGAGTGAATTTCGACCACTGCACGAACACTTCCTATTGATTGACAGCACATTTAACAGCATCTTTCAAAGTTACTATGACAATCAATACACATTTTAATTTTGTAGCAAGTTACATAACAAATCTGAGAGCTGAAAGTATTTTACTCAAAAACTACTTCAAATATCATCTCCAAATATTTTTTGTTGAAAATTCTTAGTTTTTTAAAGATATAAGCTCAATTAATTTAGTTATTTTTTAAAATATCTATACTTTAAAAAGTGGAGCTTAGAATGTTAACTTGATATTAAAAACGTATAAGTTGTTCAAATAAAAAGTATCCCATTATTAAATAAAACTATCTTTTCGGATTATTTCGCGAAATTATTTTGATTTTTGGTTCCCGACGTTTCGCCGACCCACAATTGTGGGTAGGCTGTCTGTAACAACTATACCTTCAAGACATGTAACACCTCAGTCTCTCCCGTGACCATGGATGCTGTAAAGCATTCGAAACGTCGGGAACCAAAAATCAAAATAAATCCGCGAAATAATCCGAAAAGATAGTTTTATTTAATAATGTCAAACATTCGCGTAAATCTAAGAAAGTATTAAAAAGTATCCCATTTTTAAAGACCTAGATCTAGACCTAGATTACAATCTAAACACAATTTCTTATTATATATTGTGTAACATATTATGTCTTTCATACGATTATATCATTTATATATATTGACCACTTAGTGTCAAATTAAATGCCTAGATCCCAACACCTAGTCTAGACTGGAATAAAAGCTTTCTATTAAGCGAATTTACGGCCTTTCAGTGCTTTTCATATTCTCAACTTGTAAATTATGAAAGAAATTATACACCTAACATTTATATTAACTGTATGTTTTGACGACACGTTTGGCTCAGTTTGTATTGACCCTACTTGCTGCGCCAGCGGTCGCGGGTTCGAGTCCCGCTAGGGGCATTCATTTGTGTGATGAGCACGAATGTTTGTACTCCAGTCATGGGTGTTTATATATATAACATGTATGTATTTAAAGTTATATACGTGTAGTGTATCAACTATCTGGTATCCATAACACAGGCCTCGTAGCTTACCATGGAACTAGATGATGCTGTTTGTTTAGGTCCCACAAAAAAAAGGTCTATTCCACCTTCCTGGGTTATAAACTAGTTTTACACCAGTAGTAGTTATATGAATTAAGTTTTAATGTTTAGTATAGACTTCTCAGAGATGAGATATTTTCCCGCAGTAAAAAGTATCCTATATATTGACTCGAATAACCAGCTTTAATTATACCAAATTTCATTAAAATCTATCCCGTGGTTTTCTCGTGATGCTTTCTCAGACAGACGGACAGACAAAAATTCTAAAAAACTATAGATTAGGCGTCTGTATCGATAATAATGACTATTACAATAAGATTTTCCAAAAAATATTTAATGTACAGATTCGACTTAGTTAGAATTTTATTATATGTATAGATTATGGCATTAATATTAATATGATATATGCCTTGTTGCGAGATATATTGTACATACATAATATGTATGTATGTCTCCGACTACATAATACTATAATATTCCTTCGACAATTAGATTTTTTTTTATTTCACTTAGTTAGCAGTCGGGTAGCAGTATTCATTTTTTATATTTTTTTTAGTTATGTTTGTTTGTTACTCTTTCACGCCGAAAAGGCTGAATGAATTTGGATGAAATTTAGTAGACACACAAATATAATATTGTAACTTTAAACTGAACTGTAACATTCTAAATAAAACTAGCTTTTCGGATAACTATAATTTTTTTTCTTCAAGACACACCAATTGGCACCTAAAACCCGACATTTTGTTTTTTACCCGACTGCAAGGAAAGGGTTATGTTTTTCGCGTCTATCTTTGTATGTTTGTTTGTTCGTTTTTTTGTTTGTTTGTAATATTTTTTATTCCCTCATATCTTCCAAACCACTTGATGTTTTTTTTTAATTATGTACATCTCGCGGCAAGGATGAAACGTTTATGTTTCAGACTGCATAATTAAATATTAAATTTATAAAATTCCTTCGTCAACTTGTTTTTTTATAATATATTTTATAATATATTTATTATTGTATATATACTCTAATAACCCAATAATATACAATAATAAATATATAATTTATTATTGTATATTTACCCTAATATATATTATACCCTATAACACTCGCGTTATCAAGACGTAACTAACGACGTATGAATCATCCAAATCGGTAAATAAAGCCGTACAGTAATTACGAGGAACCATACATATGTACATATAGTTTAAACACATAACCCTCGTTTGGACTTCGCCGCAGTTGGGTAAAAAAGATTTAAATATATATAAAAATATTAAAAAAAACTCATCAAAAAATTCGAACCCACGGCCCTATCCTAAAGCCTAAATATATAAAAAAAGAAATAGAAATAAGAAAGAAAAAATTAAGAAAAACTTTGAAGCTGTAAAAGAATTCCAACAAACCGGAATATTCATTAGAAGTTAAATATTCATGAGGACTGTTATCTTATTACTCTCTTTGAACAACGGTTTAGGAGTTATTTTAGAATTAACATACATTTTTTAACATTTTATGCGGCTTTTAACTGAGTCTATATCTATATTTTTTAAACTGGCTTCAATAATCTATCTATATATATAACTAGCATTGCCTGCGGCTCCACCCGCGTTCAGATGACCAAAAACCAAATTCTTAGGTTTTACATATTAGTAGTATTCTTACATTGCAGTTTTTGCATTTTTTTTCTCAGAAATGAGATATTTTCCCGCGGTAAAAAGTATCCTATATGTTGACCCGGATACCCGGCTTCACTCGGTTTCCCAAACGATCGCGTTACCACTGAGCTACCACTGTCTTGGACATACAGAAGTGCGTTAATAATTAATATAATTAGAACGTTGTAAAGATTTCCAAACTAATTAAAATCTTGGCGACTACAAGTGTTGATACACACGGGCTTAAAAAATGTAATAAATTAAATTTATTTTTTCTATAATCACCTGCATGATACGTTGATAATATTAGTATTACGAATGTCTTTAAAACCTGTTTAATCGTTATAGTATAGAAAAGTGACAAACAGTGTGTGTGTTTATCACTTGCACTTTTGTATGGATATATATATATTATATATATATACTATTGACCTACCAATTTCTTCCGATCCACGTAACATTGGCGAAATAAATGTGCT